CCTTGAGAACCATGATGTTTATAGCATCTACATGAATGGAGAATAGCTGGAAGAAAAAAGTAAGGATGAGCAATAATTAATGTCAAGGCACTGCATTTCTTTACCAGCTCTTTCTACCAGAGAAAGAGAAGCAGCTCTTAGCATTATGTCTCCAAACCGTTAAAAAATCTACCCACAACTCCAAAGCCAACCATCCCAAAGTACAGTCCAGGATAGTGGGAGTAGTCTCACTTGGCAGAAGATCTTCAATAACGATGGGCTGAAGGACAGTGCCTTTTGATCCACCCCACTGCCCTGGGAGAATGGGGCAGACAGGCCGGAAACTTTCTGTAGGTCCGTTCTGATACGTACTTCTCCAAAGCACAATGCCACATAGTGTCTGCCCAGAAGAGAAACCTCACTGCTACTAGGTCCATCATTCCCACAGCAATCTATTGCCCACCCTCACACTCACTCTCCCATCCTTCCTAGAAATACAGCTCAAATTACAGAGGCTAGTCCATAAAAGTTATCAATATCTGTCTCACAAGACAATGGCACCCAGAATAACATGAAGACTTCAGCAAGAATCTCCCTCCCTCCTTGGGCTGTGAGGTCCTCTGTAGAACAGTCTTATTCTGCAAACTCCCAATCCCAAGACATTCCCCAAAGGGAGACATGAAGATATAGGGTACTCACGGCAGATCATGGCTAAGGAGTTTGCTGGAAATCCACAAGTTATCAATTTCCTAAAATGGTATGGGAGAAAGCTTTGGACACTGGCTGCTAGCTGGTAATGAGCAGCTTGACAAGCCAGGAATGGTTGAGTTATAGAAGAAAAGGAAGTGCTATAGGCATATCACTAAATTTTCCCCATTCCATTTCCACTGGCTTCTTAGTTCACTATCTTTCTCCTCATGATTATGTTAATTGAACTTGCCTAAAATTTCTCTTTGATAGGTATTTTGCCCTGATTCCTCTCTTAACCTAGAATGGTAAGCCCTTCTATTTTCTGTTTTCTTCTGTGTCCTGGACATTCTGTGCCTTATAAACATCTTTTTGTTCTGTTGGAGCCTCGCTGGTCACCCAGGTTGGAGTGCAGTGGCACGTTCATGGCCACCACAACCTCGACCTGCTGGGCTCAGGTGATCTTTCTGCCTCAGCCTTCCAAGGAGCTCGAACTACAGGCACACGCCACCATGCCCAGTTAATTTTTTAATTTATTGTAGAAATGAGGTCTTGCCAAGTTGCCCAGGTTGGTCTTGAACCCATGTGCTCAGGCAACTCTCGCCTCAGCCTTCTAAAGTTTTAGGTCAAAATGCGGCTTCCAAAGTGCTGGGATTATAGGCATGAGCCACTGTGCCCGGTCCCTATAAACATTTTTAACTGAACTTTCATCAATCCCAGTGTTCCCCAACTAACTCTGAGATCATCTTGGCAAAGAGATGGCAAGGCTGGGATTAACTAAAAAAGCCACTCAGGATTTTTTTAAAATGGAAGTTAAATTTGAAATTCAGCTGGATCAACAGCACACACACCCAGGGAGTTTCCCAGAACTCACCACTGTTTGCTGGTGCTGTTGGAACTTAAGACTGACATTCTGGATCCAAAAAAAGCGGAAGGAGCCAATCTTTAGCTCCGCCTGCAGCTTCCGCTGACACCACTTGGTGGCCAACCGGACCACAAGCCACCTGCAGAAAAAAATCTATGTGAATTCATAGGACTCTCTTCCAGTAATAGCTTTCCTCATCCTTTTTGAGCAACTCTCCTTTCTCCTAAAGCACGACTCTGTCATACAACATTCAGCCTCAGTGATCAGAATCCTAGAAGGCTCCTAGGCTCCGAGTGACCCCTCCACCCTCTAGATTGGGGACAAACAAGTAGTAATCCCTCAAATCGTTAGGAATTCCAGAGATAGAGAGAAGCGGCCCTAGCAGGAATCAAAACAGAGGCAGCCCTGTCAGATGTGTCGAATGTGCCATCACACATTTCCCAAAGAGTCTCTATCTCTGCCCCCACCCTCCAGACAGGGGTGCACAAGAAGACACTTTGGGGTCAGACCCGGTCACCACAAATGCCGCTCTCCCTGGACAGCCAGACCTCCTGTGCCTGCTCCACAGCGCGAGGCTGCAGGTGCCCTTCGCGCTCGATGACGGGGACATTCAGGAACATATGGAGAGAGAAAGGAACCCACGGAAGCAGGCCCCTTGTGTGTGTACACACACACACACACACACACACACACACACGCACACGCACACGCACACGCACACGCACACGCACGCAGTTCCCGGTCTCAGCATTTCCTCAGGCCCCACCCGCTTCTCAATCTTCCGCCACTCGCAGCCCATTGCAGGCAGCTCGGGGAGAGCTCCCCCGCACGACCCCCTCCACTCGCCGCGTGCCCCTTTCGCGGCCCTGTCCCCTCCGCCTCCTGCGCCTTGGTCCAGCGCGCGCCCCCTCCTCAGTCTTTCTCCGAGCCCCCCACCCCCAGCCGCGGCTGGGAGCCCCTCACCGGCCTAGAAAGAGGGCGCTAAGCGCAACCAGCAGCAAGACCAACAGCGCGGAGAAGAACAGAGGCATTTAGGTCCGGGTCTGACCCGGCCTGGCCCCGGCCCCCGCCATGCCGGGCCCCGACGCCGGATCCGTGCAGCGCCGCCGCAGGCCGACCAGCCGCGCGCGCAGGGGCAACGCTGTGCGAGGAAGCGTTGGTGCGCACGCGAGCCCCGCCCTTCGCATTCTGCCAGCCAGTCAGCTGCCTCCCTTCCCTGCCCCGCCCCACTCCGCGCCCGAGACAGAGGGCCGACTGGCCGCTTGCGCGGAGTGCGGGCGTGGTTCCGGGAAGAGGGCGCTGGGTAGCCGACCCAGAACTGACACGCCCGGGCGCAGCCGATGGAGGCCGGAACTGCGGAGCCCGGGACCCGCGGGGGTCGGAGTCGGTGCAGGCTTTCCAGGCTGTCGGTGGACCGGGCTAGCTCCTTTCAGCTGCGGGGATTCCACTTTAGGGGAGTTATAGAGTCTGCCTGTCCACCTAGGGCGTGGACTACGGAAGTTACACGCCTGGTCAGACTAACAGCACGTATCTTATTCGAGGATCCTGTCCAAAAATTATTGAGGAGGAAACTAAGAGGTAATTAAAAGTTCTCAAATATCCCGCCTCATTCCATCCGCGGGCGAAACTCATGAGTTTTTGTTTTTCGAGACAGAGGCTTTGCTTGTTGCCATTTCCTCCCATGTCCTAATCTCCGTAAACATCGCTGAAGATTTTACTCAGAGCCTGTTTTCGGCTCCTTCAGATAAAGCACCATTCCAGTTTTCAACCTGTTACCCAAAGTTTCTATTCCTCCCATTGGCTTTCTTATTATCTAATCCTGTAATCAGTTACTATTTCACATCTCAAGGGCTCCACTACCGTTTCAAGGTCATACTTACTTCTCAAACCCTAAATTTCTGCGTCATCCTCTTTGTAATCTGCAGCCTTCCATCAGAATTTGTCCATCAAGGAAGGCCCAACAATTCACTGAAAACCTCTGTCCCTGGCCAGGCGTGGAGGTTCACGCCTGTAATCCCAACACTTTGGGAGGCAGAGATGAGAGGATTGCCTGAGCCCAGGAGTTCAAGAGCAGCCTGGGCAACTTGGCGAGACCTCATCTCTACAATAAATCAAAAAATTAGCCGGACATGGTGGTGCACACCTGTAGTTCTGGCTACTTGGAAGGCTGAGGCCGAAGGATTGCCAGAGCCCAGCAGGTTGATGCTGGGGTGGCCATGAGTGTGCCACTGCACTCCAGCCTAAGACAGCAGAGTGAGACTGACTCAAAAAAAAAGAGAAGAAGAAATCTTACTAATTTCTAAAATTAAAAAAAGCCTGCTAGTCACTGAAATTCCAGCAGATGGCAGCCACCTCTGTTCGCCACTCCCATGACTGAAGAATACAGGAGCAAACAAATTGACTGGCACAGGAAAGGAGGAAAGAAGGTGGGCAGAGGACAAAGTTTTCTGCCCAGCACAGTAGCTGGTTTCTATAATCCCAGTTACTCAGGGGCCTGAGGAAGGAGGATCCCTTGAGTCCATGACTTCAAGGCTGCAATGAGCTCTGATAATGCCACTGCACTCCAGTCTGGGCAATAGAGTGAGAACCTGTCTCTAAGGAAAAAAGTTTCCTATGTATCTTTTCAGAGAATATCTCTGTCAAAAAAAAAAAAAAAGGAGTTGTTTTCCAAAACCTAAACAATTGTAGTGCAGTAAAAAGAACATGAATCAGACACAACTGGATTCCTATCCCCAAATTATTTACTAGTTTTAAGAGTTCAGGCGGCCACTCAACTTTTCTGTTTCGCATTAGTAAAAATGTAATAACTTAAACAAGGTTAGATATAGAATATGGAGCCTAGGCCGGGCTCAGTGGCTCAGCCTATAATTCCAGCACTTTGAGAGGCCGAGGCTAGCAGATTGCCTGAGACCACGGGTTCGTGACCAGCCTGGACAACTTGGTGAGACCTTGTCTCTACAATAAAATAAAAAATAGCTGGGTGTGGGAGCGCTCATCTGTAGTTCCAGCTATTCGGAAAGCTGAGGCAGAAGGATCACTGGAGCCCAGCAGGTGGAGGCTGTGGTGGCTGGGGGCGTGCCGCTGCATTCCACTCCAGTCTGGGCGACAGAGTGAGACTCCAACTCAATAATAATAATAATAATAATATGGAGCCTAGTATTTAGCAGTGAAGAAATGTTGGTTCTTTATTTCTACCCCATTCCTTTTTCTCATCTGCAGAAACAGATACAAAGGAAAACATTTCACTGGTTATCTATACCGTATCCTTTGAGTATCTTTAGCCACAATTAGTAAAAAAATCTAATAAAATGAGATGCCTTAGAAGTGAAAGGAGAGAGAGAAAGGGTTTGGATGCAGGTAAATCTTAGAAGGGCCAACACTGAAGGCTCCCAGGACCTCAAAAGGGTCTTAGGACTTGAGGATTAAGCAGATCATAAATAACACACTTAATAAATAACAACACAATGACTAATAAGAAATTTGTTTTTCATTTTGGAGAAAGAAAAATAGGGGAAAAGTCACACACATTAACAATCCATGATGCTAAGCTCCTGAGGAGTAAAAGTTTCCCAGCTAAGAGGGATGTACCCCTCAGTTTTATCAGTCTAAATAAAAGCATCTGCCCCTTCACCAGAAAGTCCTCTACTCAGAAGGAACTGACTGGGAAAGCAACCAATTCAACTGTGAAGGGCTGAAGTTTCCAAACACAGCTGCCATTTTCTGTTGTGCATCTTCATCTCAGTGGTGTCATGTCCACTACCCGGGAAACTTGTGGCAGGGATCCCAAGGTGAAACAGCAGCAGATGTCTATGAACATTGTGTGGTGACAGTGGTTCAGAGGCTCTAGACTCATAGCTCTGCATGGTGGGCTTCTGCCTTCAACAACTCACTCGGCTTCATGAAGATGCCTTCCATGGCTTTCCAGTAGTTATTCTGGCTTGGCTGGGCCATGCCATGCACCTCTTTTTGCCCACTGATAGGTCTACCATATTGTTCTCCTGTGACAGACAGCAGTACCTCAGTGGAAGAATGTCTGAACCGCACTTCACCATCTCTCACCCAGTAGGGCCCATTACAGAGCACTGTCCAGTCATCCAGATAATCACCTTCCCCTTCCTCACCAAAAGCACTCACTTCCTGGAAAATACAAAAAGGGGTAACATTAGTATAGTGACACATAGGCTTAAAAGGGGAGGCAGGCAATGGAAAGAATAATAAGGTTGCCCAGAAGTTAAAAATGGGAGACTTTCCAGGGTTGGTTGGTTGGTTGGTTATTTTTGAGACAGAATCTCACTCTGTTGCTAAGGCTGGTATGTATCCTCGAACTCTTGCACTCAAGCGATCCTTCCACTCCAGCCTCCCAAGCAGCTAGGACCACAGGCACACGCCACCATGACTGGATAATTTTTGTATTTTTTGTAGAGACAGGGTCTTTTGCTTGCTGGTCTTGCCAAGACTGGTCTTGAACTCCTGGCCTCAAGCACTCCTCCGGCTTTGGCCTCTTAAAGTGCTGGGATTACAGGCTGGAGCCACCATTCCCAGTCTTCCATGTTGCTTAAAATAAAATAAAATCAGCCAGGCTCGGTGGTTCAGCCTGTAATCCCGTACTTTAGGAGGCTGAGGTGAGTGGATTGTCTGAGCCTGTGGGATCAAGACCCACCTGAGCAACTTGGCGAGACCTCATCTCTACAATAAATCAAAAAATTACCCAGGTATGGTAGCGTGTGCCTGTAGTTCCAGCTACTTGGAAGGCTGAGGCAGAAGGATCGCTGGAGCCCAGCAGGTTGAGGCAGCAGTGGCCGGGAGCAGCCACTGCACTCCAGTCTGGGTGACTGAGTGAGACTCCAACTCAAAAACAATTTTTAAAAATAAAATGAATAAAATCAACTGTGTGGGGGGGGATCAGAAAGACACAAAGGGCACAGAAAAGAAAAAGACATTAGTTCCTATAAGATTTTGGTCCACAGTTTATATCTGAGTCATGGTACCAAAATGAAAAAAAAAAAAAGATGATTATGGTTCAAACATTTATTTTGCAATTAATACTATATTTGCCTTATTTTTTTAATTATAGTTTTATTTTTCTTTCTTGAGTTGGAGCTCACTCTGTCACTCAGGTTGGAGTGCAGTGGCATGCTCACAGCCCCTGTAGCCTCGACTTGCTGGCTCTATTTTCTTGACATGGATCCTTCCACCTCAGCCTTCCAAATAGTTGGAACCCCTGGCTGATTTTTTTATTTATTGTAGAGATGCGGTCTCGCCATGCTGCTCAGGCTGGTCTTGAACCCCTGAGCTCAGGTAATCCTTTCGCCTCCACCTCACAAAGCATTGGGATTATTATAGTCTTAAAACACTTTATATCCCTTGTTCTTTGACTTTAGATATTCTTGCTTCATTCCCTTAACTAGATTTTTTTTTTTTGGAGTTGGAGTCTCACTCTGTCACCCAGACTGGAGTACAGTGGCTGCTCCTGGCCACCGTAGCCTCGACCTGCTGGGCTCTGGCGATCCTTCCGCCTCAGCCTTCCAAGTAGCTGGAACTATAGGCACGCACTACCACGCCCGGCTAATTTTTTTATTTATTGTAGAGATGAAGTCTCGCCAAGTTGCCCAGGTGGTCTCGAATCCACGGGCTCAGGCAATCCACTCACCTCAGTCTCCCAAAGCGCGGGATTATAGGCTGAGCCACCGAGCCTGGCTCCCTTAACTAGATTTTAAGTGACCCAATGAGAAAGTTGGAAAGGGGATGGGCTCTGGAGTCAGACAGATCTTGAATTTCACTCAGCTCAATCCCTTCTTGTGTAACACCTTTCAGTCTTTGTTTTCTCCTCTATAAAATGATGACAATATCACCTTACAGAACAAATGTGAGATTGAAATGAAATAGTACATATTACCTGAGCAAAGTACAGCAAGTTCTCTAGATTTCACTCCTCATCTAAATCCCATTCTCCTTAAGGCTAACTATTCAGTTTTTATATAACAGCAATTTTTAAAATTAGTGATTATTTCAGACATATGCACTAATAACTATTTCATTTTAGATTATTAAAAAGCAGTCATTTGTAAATATAGTCTGCAAGATAAAAGGCAAAATGAACTACACATAAGCCCAGTAATCTACTTAATAAAATTGTTTCCTGTGGGGGTACTGTGTGAGCTTTTTGGCCCTGTGTGAGCTTCCTGCAATTCTGCTACTGCTATACTTGTATACATACTGGAACTGAACAAGTAAATAAGTGGATGGCAGATAGTGGGAACAAGGTATCACATTGATGGAGTGGGAATTTACAAATAAGCACAGGGAGGAGGCTACAATGACCTAAGTGGTAATGAATTAAGAGAGACTTCAATAAGAACCCTAGCCAGATGCAGTGGTGAACACCAGTAATCCCAGCTACCTGGGAGACTAAAGCAGGAAGATTGTTTGAGCCCAGGAGTACGAGACTGCAGTGAGCTATGATCTTGCCTGTGAATAGCCACTACACTCCAGTCTGGACAACATAGTGAGACTCAATCTCTTGGGGGGGGGGACTCACGTTTAACTTAATATAGATACAAATGGTTTCACATTTAAATATTTATAGATATACGTGTGTATACTTACATTATACTCATACATATAAGTAAGTATATACACATATATTTCTTTACTCTGTCAGGTAAGAGGGCCTAAAAGAAACATTCCAGTAGCAACAAGCTCACACAGGGCCTAGATCTTGTTGTAATATCATTCTCCAATAAAAGGTAGCAAGACTCCTTGGAGAAATGGTGATTCTAGTACTTGGGCAAAAAATAAACAAGATGGGCCTGGAGCATCTTTTAGTGCTAGAAAGTAAGGAAGTCCTTTAAAACATACACAATGAGATTCTGTCAAATAGACAGAAAGTTAACCGAAGGACCTCCAAACAGTCAAAGTTGGAACAGAAGCAACAAAATACAGTGGTATTGGATTATAACTCAAATTATAAAATATCCATGAGTTCATAAAATATAAGTAAATTACTAAATAAGAAAATAAATTTGGGAGACGAGAAAGACAAATCCCCCATATGGAATAATCCCAAATAAATTATGTAGATATTCTATCTCAGGTGGGGGAGCATAACTCTCCAGTCCTTAAGTGTGAAACATACACAGTGACTTCCTTACAAAAAGTGCAGTATGGAAATGGGGAAAATGAAAAAAGAATAACTACAGGAAAAATCTAACAAACACCCCTTCAGCCAGGTGGTCATGGTCAACATCAACAGTCACAAGTCATATAGATAGTATGTACCCCTGATATGATATGATAAAAATAGCACTTTACCCTGTGATCTTCCTCCCAAAACTCTTTATAAAATCAACTGATCATAAAAAAAAAAAAAATCAGACAAATTCCAAGAGAGGTATTCTACAATATACCTGACAATACATCTCAAAACTGCCAAGGTCATCAAAAACTAGGAAAATCAGAAAAACTGTCACAGCCAAAAAGAACCTAATAAGACACAGCAAGTAAATGTGATGTAATATCTTAGAACAGAGAAAGGACATTAGGTGAAAAGCAGAATAAACTATGGACCTTTTTAAATAATTATGTATCACTATTGCTTCATTAAATGTAGCAAATTTACCCTACTAAAGTAAGATGTTAATAGGAAAAACTGTGTACACAGAGCAGGAATGGTGAGAAGAAGGGAGTCATTAAAGGGTCCACAGTCCCTGAAAGCGCAAAGCTTTAAAAAGTGGCACAATATCTAATCCATTTTCCTAGCGTGGCTAGTAGCATCATTTAAAAATAAAAAATTTGCTTTTTTTTTTCTGGGCCTGTGGAAGTGCTGGATCGTCTCAGAGAAAGCCACATGCCTTTGCTTCTTCCCTTTTTGCCCTGTGAAAAGCAGGTCTGCGGAGTCATTAGGGAGGACGCTGGGACATTCAGAAGCCAGGAGATGGAGAAAACAAAAAAGAAAATCATTCTATCAATTGAATTCTCAACCGTCCCTTCAGCAGCCTGCTATGTGGACAAGCACAGTGTTGTCTTTGTACAATAGAGTGTCCAGTTCTCTCCAAATTCATAAAGATGAGTTCTTATAATAGTAAATGTCCAAATTTCTCCTAATGGATGGAGATGATTTCTTAGATTTGGCTTTTTTTTTTTTTTTTTTGAGTTGGAGTCTCACTCTGTCGCCCAGAGTGGAGTACAGTGGCCGCTCCCAGCCACCGCAGCCTCGACCTGCTGGGCTCCGGCGATCCTTCCACCTCAGCCTTCCAAGTAGCTGGAACTACAGGGTACAATGGAGTATTTGCAGCCTTGGCAAATTGAGATGGAGTCCTGCAGTCCAGCAACAAGCCACCAGGCACCATTCCTGTGCCACAGTTCACAGCATGCTCCGCAATGCGTGCCACATCCGGCTCCACCTCCAAACTCCCAGTGTCATGAGGCAACTCAACCGCAAATTGCTACAAGTAAAAACTTGCATTTCTTTTTTCTGGCCTCCTCTAGTCCCCTTGGATCGCATCAGTGGACCCAAGCCATGTACAAAGGATCAGAAATGAGACTATTTCTGACTTTTTAATTATCGCTAACAATTTCCCAGGTGATGCCCAAGCTGCTGATCGGCAAACTACATATTTAATAACAAGGTTCTAGTAGATAATGTGATAATTCATTATTAGTGAAATATTTTAAGATAAACTGCCAACTGTATTTTCCCTATGACAATGACTATGAAGATTTTCCCTATTAACCCCCTTTACTTAAGAGAATAATTGCTTCAATAAACAACCTTGAAACATCTAACCTTTTAGTTAGTCTGAATTTAATCACTATGCACCTTGGCAGATGAGGTAAATTATGCTTAAGCTACATTTTTTTCCTTAAAAGTTCCTTTTTCTATGCATAGTCTGTAAGTAATGTAGAGTGTGGCATCTAGCAGTCCCCCTCCTCAAATTCCCCTGCAGAAGCAAAGCTGCATGCATGGGAATAAATGGGATTCTCATCTCATGTGAGCATTTCCCAGTAATGAGATAGCTCTTGGGATAATTTAACTGACCAAGAGAGCCAATCCAGACAATCCTTAATCAGAATGCTATATTTTCTAGTGCTTGCCATATTAGATTTTAGCCATGCCCTAGAGTTATAAAATTGCTTACTCATCAATTCATTATCCATGGCACTAACACTACTTATTTTGGCTGAGGATTCAAGGGTATACTTTTAAAATGAAATGATAGAACTACAGTCATTAGTCATAGCAATATTTAGAATCTGTAGGCTTTTATACTTAGTTTGAAAGTTTTCCCACTTATTTTTTCATGCTTATTAATTCTTTGTTCTTAGTTTCTTCCCTGCCTTAATCAATTGATATACTGTAGAAAGTTGTGGATAAGGTAAATTTGTATGAGAAAAATTGTAACTTAAATACACTTAAAATAAATTCCTATTTAATTTTATAATGAAAAAAATAAATACAAATTAAAAATTTAAAAACAGGAATTTAAAAATAGCAATTATTATTGCAAGTTGGAAAACACTGGGTTTCTTTATTGCAGGATTTATCAGAATTTAGGATATGCTAATGTGTATCTAGTCTGTCTTTCCTCCCCATTTCTTAATTTGGTCTAGATGTAAGGTCTCCACTTTGACCAGACACTATTTTCTTCACACTTATAAAACAGAGCCATTTCTCCAGGTTTGCACAAAAGAGAACATCTAACCCTGAAAAAGAAAGGGTTAAGAACCAAGAGATCAAACAACAACTCAATTGAGTAATGCAGAGCAACAATGATCCACTGGATGGTACCTCACCTGGTTTCCAGAAAGAGGTGAAGTGAAGTGGTGACTATGTAGGTTTCTGCCGGTATTGACATGTGTCAGCCGGATAGGCTGGCCACACTTGATGGGGGTTCCCCTCTCACATACTGTGGCAGTCTTCCCCCGTATCCTCCAGTAACTGTTGCTGTCATCCACAGAAGTTACACCTGTCACTGACTGTTGCCCACTACCTGCAGTTAAAAACAGAAAGGCAACTCTCTTTCCCTGCTGATGAACTGTGCAGAGGCAAAAGCTCAGGTGTATTCAAAATTCAGCTTCACCTATAACATAGCACCATAGCCCAGAAAGACACTGCTGTTGGAGGTGTAATGGACTGCTTTACAAGAAGTGCTGAAGACCACCCACATCCACAATGACCTAGCATGTGGAATGTGCAAAGCTGTCAAAACCTTAGACAAGCAGTAAGTCCATATTTGTGTGTTTACATCTAACAGTGATAAGTCTATATATGTCAAGTTGGTGGAGGCCCTTTGGACTGAATACCAAATCAACCTAACTTAAGGCTGATAACCTTAAGAAACTAGGAAAATGGATAGACCTCTGTAAAACTGAGAGGGAAAACCTTGTAAAGTGGTGGGTTGTAGTTATGTCATAGTTAAGGACTATAGCAAAGAATCTCAGGTCAAGGATGTTATCGAAGTATACTTCAGATGAAAGAAACTAACAAAAATTTTGGTAATATTTTTTCTTCTACAACATTAAAATATTTAGGAAAAATACTAAATGTGCTCACATAGCATTAGTTATTATATGATAGTCTATACTTAAACATGTGTCAATCACAAAATTCCAAGCATTTTCAAGAAAAGATATTAGACAGATAAACATGTTTGTTTGTTTTAAAATAATTAGAGATGAGATCTCATTATGTTGTCTAGGTTAGTCTCGAACTCCTGGGCTCAAGCAATCCTCCCTACTCTGCCACTCAAAGTTCTGAGATTACAGGCATGAGCCATCACACTCAGCCACTTGCTTGAATATTCTTATTTGACACATCCATCTATTCTCTGAAGTAGGTATTATTATTATTATTATTATCATTAATTTTTTTTTTTTAGTAGGGGTCTCACTCTGTCACCCAGGCTGGAGTGCAGTGGCATACTCATGGCCACTGCAGCCTTGACCTGCTGGACTCGGGCAATCCTTCCACCTCAGTCTTCCAAGTAGCTGGAACCACAGGTACATACCATCACGCCCAGCTAATTGTTTGATTTATTGTAGAGATGAGCTCTCCCCAATTTGCCCAGTCTGGTCTCAAACCCCTGGACTCAGGAAATCCTCTCGCGTCTGCCTCCTGAAGTACTGGGATTATAGGCATGAGCCACTGTGCCTGGCAGTATTATTAAATTATCATTATCCCCAATTTATACTAGGGTATAAGAAAGGTTGCACAGCATGCTCAAATGTCATACAACTCTAAGAAATAAGGCTGGGGTTGAACCTAAGCAGTCTGACTCTAGAACTAACACTCAACTAACTCCACCACATCATGTCCCACTAAAGGTCATGTTTTTCCTCCAGCTTTATTTTCTGTTAAGTTTTCCTAAACAGGCTATTCCTATAAACTCCAGGGATATTTTCTTCCATAGGCCTCATTTACTACCAGATTCTTTGAAGGCATCCCATATTTCCCAGATACTTTCCTCAAATATTCCCACCTCTTCAACCCAGCTTTGTCTTCAGTTTCATGGCCTTGCCTGACCACAGTCTTTCGATGCTATTTCCCTTTTACCATGTAACACATTATGCCTTGTGCCAGTTATCTGGGTTAATGTTGCAAGTTATCGACACCTCTCTAATAGCTTCTTCCACTGAGCTCATCACTTTATTATATCTTTTTATTTTTTTTTTTTGAGTTGGAGTATCACTCTATCACCCAGACTGGAGTGCAGTGGCCGCTCCCGGCCACTGCAGCCTCGATCTGCTGGGCTCCGGCGATCCTTCTGCCTCAGCCTTCCAAGTAGCTGGGCGTGGAACTACAGGAGCGCGCTACCACACCCAGCTAATTTTTTATTTATTGTAGAGATGAGGTCTCGCCAAGTTGCCCAGGCGGGTCTCGAACCTGCGGGCTCAGGCAATCCACTCACCTCAGTCTCCCAAAGTGCAGGATTACAGGCTGAGCCGCCAAGCCCAGCTACATCTTTATTTTTTATTTTATTTTATTTTTTTTGAGTTGGAGTCTCACTCTGTCGCCCAGACTGGAGTGTAGTGGCACCCTCTGGCCACCACAGCCTTGACCTGCTGGGCTCTGGCGATCCTACCACCTCAGCCTTCCAAGTAGCCGGAACTACAGGAGCGTGCTACCACACCTGGCTAATTTTTGATTTATTGTAGAGACGAGGTCCTGTCAAGTTGCCCGAGCGGGTCTCGAACCTGCAGGCTCAGGCAATCCACTCACCTAGGCTGAGCCACCAAGCCCGGCCTATTATATCTTTAAAGAAAAAAGAAGCCGGGTGCAGTGGCTCAAACCTGTAATCTCAGCACTTTGGGAGGCGGAGGTGAGAGGACTGACTGAGCTCAGGGGTTGGAGACCAGTATGAGCAACATGGTGAGACCTCGTCTCTACGATAAATCAAAAAATTAGCTGGGCATGGTGGCACAAGCCTGTGGCTCCAGCTACCTGGAAAGCTGAGATGGAATCACCTGAGCCCAGCAGGTCGACAGTGGGGTGGCCATGAGTGTGTCGCTGCACTCCAGCCTGAGTAACAGAGTGAGACTCTGACTCAAAAAAAAAAGAAAAAGAGCTGGGCTCGATGGCTCAGCCTGTAATCCCGTGCCTTTGGGAGGCTGAGGTGAGTGGACTGCCTGAGCCTGCAGGGTTCGAGAACCACCTGGGCAACTTGGTGAGGCCTCATCTCTACAATAAATCAAAAAATCAGCCAGGCATGGTAGCGCATGCCTATGATTCCAGCTACTCGGAAGGCTGAGGCGGCAGGATAGCCGGAGCCCAGCAGGTCGAGGCTGTGGTGGCCAGGAGCGGCCACTGCACTCCAGTCTGGGCGACAGAATGAGACTCCAACTCAAAAAGAAAAAAAAAAGAGAAAAAAACCCCCAATTTTTCCTTTATACTTCTGGTTACTGCCTTACAGTGCTGTCAGATCTCACTACATCATAATATACATTTTGTTTCCTACTTTTTTTACTTTCTAGTCAACCCTTCACTTCCTCCCCCCAATCTTTATACCTTGCCATTACCCAGAGTTCTCTACCTGGCCCTCATCTGTTTCTATCAGTAGTTCTTAAACAATTGTGGAGGTCAGAAACACATTTGTGTTTTAACAAGTTTCTCAAGTGATTCAAATTGACTGAGAACCACAGTTCATCCTAGGACATCTCATTTACTACCATCACATCTTCAACCACCATCTGTAAAGGTGTTGTATTTAACTCTATATCTTAGGCTCAGCACAGATATCTCTTCTGAGCTCCAGACTGAACCTGGCTCCCAAATCTGGCTGCCCATCAGAACCACCTAACGAGTCTTTTAAACCTATAGATTTCTACTGCCAGACTGCTGTCCATCTCCATTCTAACTCAGTAGATCCAAGGTAGGAAATAAGATCATTTGCTGCCTAACCTGGAGTCCAGTGGTGCAATCATAACTCACCGGAACCTCAAACTCCTGGACCCAAGTGATCCTCCTGCCTCAGCCTTCCAAATAGCTAGGACTACAGTCACACTCCATCATGTCTGGCTCATTTTTTCTTTTTTTTCTTTTTTTTTTTTTTAGAACAGAGTCTTGCTATGTTGCCCAGGCTGTTTTCAAATTCCTGGCCTCCTAAAGTGCCAGGATTATAGGTGTGAGCCACCACACCAGACCTAGCATTTATCTTAGATGCCACTCACATCTCACTACCTGAAATTCTTTCTCTTTGTTTTCATGGTCTGATAAATTGCTTGACTGATTCACTACTGTATCTCCTGTATCTGGAACAAACTAGTCCCAAAGTAGGAGCTCATTAAAACTTATACTGGTCAGGCATGGTGGTTCATGCCTGTAAAGCCCAGCACTTTGGGAGGCCAAGGCAAGAGGACTACCTGAGCCAATGGGTTCGAGACCAGCCTGAGCAACATGATGAGACCTCTTCTCTACAGTTAAAAAAAAAAAATCAAGCAGGGCTCGGTGGCTCAGCCTGTAATCCCGCGCCTTTGGGAGGCTGAGGTGAGTGGACTGCCTGAGCCCGCCGGTTCGAGACCC